TTCTCGTGGCCCATGGGAAGAAGAAAAGGCCCATGCTATTTGGCCGATCACACCCTCCTCCTCCAGACAGGGTCCCACTGTGAGGGCTATACTTGGGAAGGCACTATTGCCGTAGTCCATTCAGGCTGCTTGAACAAATATACCATAGACTGGACAGCTTTTAGGCAACAGACATTTATTTTGCAGAGCTCTGGAAGCTGGGAAGTCCAAGATCAATGGGCCAGCAGATGAACTATCTAGTGAGAATTCTCTTCCTGGTTTGCACAGCATCTTCTACTGTGTCCTCACAAGGCAGAATCAGCCTTCTGATATCAGGCCAAGGCTTTGAGGCTTCCCAGTGACACCCCAAACATTATGGAGCAGAGACAAGCCGCCCCACTGTCTGAATTCCTGACCACAGAATCCATAAGCATTTGGGGGTTTTTTTTCACAAAACAAAGCACAACCCATCTGTCATGGGCCCTTCCCAGGAACTTCATAGAGTCCTCAACCTTGGCAGAAAATTTCCAGTTTTAAGAATCAAAAGGCCCGAGTGTAAGCTCCAGCTCCAATACAAGGAGCTGGTAGTGTTAGCCAAGCAACTGCCCTGAGCTTTAGCTTTGCCACCCCAGAAACGGGAATAAGAAACATATGAGATGAGATGACCATATATGATAGCAGTCTGAATGGTGCCGAGTGATCTACAAAGAGCCCTTAACAATATTATCAACTCATCTTTACTGGAATATTTGCATTCTTTCATGATGTCTCCATAGATGCATGTAGCTCAAAGCCGGGAGGCAGTTCAGTCAACTGCCCCCTGTTTGCATGTGACGCTCACAGAAGCCTCGCAGCATCATCGCGAACCGCAGGCCCGTTCCCTCCCGCACAGCAGCAAGCTCATTAATTCTTCATGGGCGCACCACTTGTGTTTATTGAGCAGAAAATGTTCCAACAAAGTTCAAGCCAGACTAAAAGGAACCTCATTTTATCTTATTAAAATTGCATTTTTATTTGGTCTTGCATAACTAAAAAGCAAAACAGGCTTCAACTAAAGTCGTTTTAAGCAAGTGGCAACTAATACACCTCCCCTGTTCCAGATAATGAAATCTTTGAAAAAGATACTAACCAATAAACTTTTTAACAAATTACACTACTTTAAACCACTAGAGTAATTCATTGTTTTAAAAAGAACCCTAGTAATTCCTTATGAAGAACAGACACACGTGATACAATTCCACTCCCAGGTGTTCCCTTGCACAAATACACAAGACAGGTTCAGCAATGTTTGTAATACTAAAAAGAAAAAAAATTGTTATGAAAAATCTAGATGTCCATTATCAACTGAATAATGAATTTTGGAAATAGTATACATATAGCAGAACATTAACCATACAAACATAATGAAGTACAGCTCCAAGAGTCAAGATAGGTAATTTCACAAATGTAACATTGAAAAGTAAGTTGAATATACACAGTAGGACACCATTTACAGGAAGTTTTTAATAACAGAAAATGATACTAACGTTTTGGACACATACATGAGTGGCCAGCAATCCCACTCCCAGCATGGCCATGAAAACACAAGCTCAGGAGGGTGATCGTCTGGGGAAGGGTCGGCGGCAGGGGGCTGGGTCCAAGGAGGGGACACAACAGTTCAACTGTGCCCGTGGAAACAGTTTACTTCCTACGCTAGGGGGCAGATACACTGCGCTCCCTGTTGGTCATGTTAATCTATTAGCCTTCCTGGAGTCTGAAATGTGTTCTGGCGGGTGAGACTGCTCTGGCTCCGTGAGGTGAGGGGCCGATGAACGTGACACAGACGCAGCCTCCAGAACGTGTCGCCATCACCCAGACGGTCAGAAAGCAGAGTGGCCCTCAAGGACATTTCTGTTACCTAGGTCTTCGCATCCCACCCTGTGCTGTACGTGCAGCCCTTTCAAAAAGAAGGCTCAGCATCATGAGCCACCAGAGAAACGCAAATGAAAGCCACCATGAGATGGCACTTCTCAGCAGGAAGGCAAACTTACAAAGACGACGCAAGCGCCGGCGAGCAAGCAGAGACTGAAGCCCCCATACACGGGGGACGAACAGTGCAGAGCAGCTGCTTTGGAAAACCACCCAGCAGGTCCACAAAAGGCCAGACAGTTAGCCCACGATTCCACTCCTAGGTAGATAAGCTGGAGAAATGAAAAATATGTTTACATAAAAATGCAGTGCTATTTATAAGAGCCAAAATGTGCCAATGGTCCAAATGTCCACCAACTGTTGAGTGAATCCAGTGTGGCCCGACCACATGATGGGCGATCGTTCCACCCGGAGACGGACTGACATGCGCTCCGACATGGACGGGCCCTGAGCGCTCGAGGAAGGGGCCAGGCACCGGGCCCACACGCAGGCGCGCCTCCTGCTCTGCGCTCATGACACGCCTCACAGAGCCCGCGTTCCTCCCACGGAGGGTCTGCGCCGAGGCTGAGCCTGAGGCTGAAGGGTGAGCCAGTCTATCAGCACCATTCTTCTGACACCATCTGCTCACTTTGTTTCTCTGTCATATTTTGGTAATTCAGTATTTCAAACGTCTCCATCATTAACATATTTTTTATGGTGATCTATGATCGGCGATTATTTTATGGTACTACTGTAACAGTTCTGGAGGACCATGAACCAAAACTTAAGTGCCATGTAATGAAGGGATCTTAATCAGTAAGCGTGTGTGTGCGGTCTGCTCGGGGCTGTCCCCTGCCTCTCTCCCTGTCCTCAGGGCACCCTGTTCCCCAAGACACAAGAACTGTTGAAATCAGGC